TATATATATATATATATGTATATATATATATATTTAAATATGGATCCTTACTTTGAATTCAAAATACATAGTGACTGATTTTCTAAAATTATAATTTACTAAGAATTAACACATGATAACTTTATGCATCTACAATCAACTTGTTTTATTTTATTAGAGATCGTTCTTTACCCCAATTGGTCACCGGAGAGGACCCATATGTCTGAACGCATGAAACTCACCTTCGACGCCCGCACATATGACTAGTCACAACTGATTGGACTAGGCCAGGGCTGCTCTATGATCAGGGATGTGCCAACTCAGGTTTTTAAGGTTCCTCTATCCTACCAACAAAGAAAGGCTCTCAATAATTAACAATTAATTTATTTAAATTATCTACCTCTGTTCTCTTATGCTCTAAATCTAAAATGCCTAATTTTAATATTTTCACTTCCTCTCGTAACAACCTCAAACAATACCTGTACATGCTATTACAGAACCCTTACTCCCGACCTTCCAACAATATCAATTTCAGCCAACAAACTCATTCAAAACAAATTAAATTCATCACATCACAAAATGCACAATTTCATAGTTTCAATTATAACACCCAATATAATAAAAGTCATAAAACAGTTTCACAAGAGCACACCAGTTCAACATTCATATGCATATTTTTTATAAAATAAATTTATACAAAAATAATTAGCTCTCCTTACCTTGGAGTTGAGCAATATAGCCAACTAGAGTGCCCTAACCGTGCCTTCACAGAGAAAACCCGAACAGTGTCCTACAACCACCTAAATGGTGATGGAAACAGCTCTTAGAGCTAGAACAAGCAGGAAATCGAAAGGAAATACTACCCAGCTGCATGCAACCAGTAAAGTTGCATGCCCTAGGTTCAAGAAAAGGAGAAAAATTGACTTACCTGTCCAAATCGAAAACTAATCGGATGGATAGGAAGCCCTCAACTTCGTGAGTGAAAGAATACCACCTAATCGAAATTTCAACGGTTCAAATGAGTGTAAGGGTAGAGAGAAGGCAGAAAAGGAAGGAGGAAAATTGAGTTTAGAGAGAGAAGGAGAGAAGAACTGGAAAGTGAACTCAGAGCTGGAAGGTGAGGCCTCTTCTGAGGTCCTAGTGCCCTTAGCTTCTTGGGTCAGGCTGCAGGATCCAATGGTATTTCATTTTTCAGGCTCTTACACCTAACCCTTAAAAAAAAGTTTAAACACTTACTTTCAAAAATGTTTGTGAAAAGTTTTTTTAAAAATTCTATTCATACTCTTGTTTCTAGAGGTTTTTCTTTCGATATCGTAGCTAGTTCAAATAGTGTAAAAACAAAAAATTCCTAGTTATGTACGTGAACTTGCACATTTGTTTCAAAAATTTTATAACCCTTTTTATATATGATTAAATTTGATTATCTTTACTTGTAAAAGTTAAACTTAATTATACTTATATTTCAACTTAACGACATAAAACATATACAGTAATTAATCTATTGGATGTTTCTATTATACTTTTGTAAAAATAAAAATAAAAACGTAAGAAATAGATTGAACTATCTTTTATGAAAAGAAAAAAACTTGTAAACTTTTACAAAATATATTTTAGATTATTTCAGAGGAGATAGCGATAAAATTTTATATTAATGAGTTGTGAATAAATTAAAGGTTTTTATAGAACAATGTTATTTTTCAAAGTTCATGTTTTTCTTTATCAATTTCAGAAAGACTATTCTTTTTACGAATATTAACTAAATTATTTTTTATTGACATTTGTTGTAATTACATTTTTCACTCATGTGTGTAATAATCCTTTTATCAATAACATCAATGATCAATAATTTGTTAAAAAAATAATATTAATTAGAAAATTCTTTAACTAATCATAGCTATGATTTGTTATATTATAAAGAAATTTGTTCGGTTGGCGTCGATTGAAAAATTAACAGAAAAAAAATCAAATATTGTATAAATAATCTTGATTCATGTTACCTTAAATAATTGTAAATTAAAAATAATTTTGAGCAACATGAAATGAAAAAAAAAAGAAAACTTTATTAATGTGCTGAAAAAATCTTGGTGAATTTTGACTAAAATATAATATCAATCTAGATCAACTAAAAAATATATAAATATTCATAGTTTTGAATTATTAGCATTTATTTAGTATTTTTTTTATTTGGTAGTTATTGAATGTTTTATCCAAATAAAAAAATCAATAAATTTGAATTGTTATTCAAATAATTTTAAAAATAGTTAAAATTTACGTTTTTAAATTTTTAGAATTGTGAAATTTTACGTGGGTTTTCCTTGTTTAACAAAAATACTTAAATTGAGCTTACTAGTAAAAGTAAATATCTTAAAATACGAATGTTAAGAAGAAAAAAAAACACAAAATTCATTCTTTTAGCAAGCTCCTTATAATTACTTATAAGAGAGAACTTCATATATGATAATCATTTAAAAAAGTATCTCGTATGTTATAGAGAACTTGTTTTGAAAATTCTGTTCGAGAAATATCGTTCTATAATGTATTTCATATATTTGTAATAATTTGTCTAAAAATCCTGTTACAGAAATCATGTTCTGAAAAGTTTATTCTTAAAATCCTGTTTTAAATATTCAAAAAAGCTTTATTGGGGGAGATTTTCAGATCAAAGAATCTAGAAATCACCTTTACTAAGGATAAAACAATCCTTTTAAAAGTAACGGGGAGTGCAGTTAGAACTTATGGGGGTTGCATTAAAAAATTATAACAGTGGAGGAAGAGGAAACGAGAAGAGAGTTACTCTCTGCACCACCACACATTACTTCCTGCACTACCACACTTTTTTTAAATTCCAGATCTATCATTTATATTTTAAAATATCTTACACCTCATCTTTTTCTCTTGAACGGATATCGATATGCATTGAAGAAAAAAATTATTCAACGAATGTGTTACATCCGTTTAGTTTTTAAAAATTTTTAAATTAATATATAAATATTATTTAATTTTTTTTAAAATTATTACTTAATTATTTATAAATTTATTTTATTTTATTTAATAAAATTATTATTATTAATTTAATTTATATATTATTATTTTAAATAATAATTAAAATACTTTTAAAAATTTATTAAAACGGATGTTACCACATGAATTTTTTTCTTTTTAAAGTTTTTAGTTTTTTATTTTATTATATTTTAAATTAATATATAAATATTATTTAATTTTTTTAAAATTATTATTTAATTAATTATAAATTAATTTTATTTTATTTAATAAAATAATTATTATTAATTTAATTTATGTATTATTATTTAAATAATAAAATAGTTTTTAAAAATTTATTAAAATGGATGTGGCAACATCCATGAAGTTTTTTCTTTTTAAATTTTTAGTTTTTAATTTATTATATTTTAAATTAATATATAAATATTATTTAATTAATTTAAAATTATTACTTAATTATTTATAAACTAATTTTATTTTATTTAATAAAATAATAATTATTAATTTAGTTAATATATTATTATTTGTATTATTATTTAAATAATAAAATAGTTTTTAAAAATTTATTAAAATGGATGTGGCAACATCCATGAAGTTTTTTCTTTTTAAATTTTTAGTTTTTAATTTATTATATTTTAAATTAATATATAAATATTATTTAATTAATTTAAAATTATTACTTAATTATTTATAAATTAATTTTATTTTATTTAATAAAATAATTATTATTAATTTAATTTATATATTATTATTTTAAATTATAATTATAATATTTTTAAAAATTTTTTAATTCTGATGTTACCACATGAATTTTTTTTTTTTTTTAATTTTTTTTTTTTTATTTTATTATATTTTAAATTAATATATAAATATTATTTAATTAATTTAAAATTATTACTTAATTATTTATAAACTAATTTTATTTTATTTAATAAAATAATAATTATTAATTTAGTTAATATATTATTATTTAATTAATAATCAAAATAGTTTTAAAAACTTTATTAAAACGGATGTGGCAATCCTGTAACGGATGTCGCCACATCCGTTGAAGATTTTTTTTTAAAATAAAAATAATAAATTAAAATATAAAATATATGTTAAAAACAATAAATTAAAATATAAAATATGTGAACGGACGGATGTCAACATCCGTTGAAGATGAAACGGATATTGACATCCGTTTTAGAGAAGGGTAAAATTGGTATGGAGTGATACAGGGAGTATTCGGTGGTGGTGGAGAGAGTAACTGCCAAGTGATAAATAAACTGGAGTGGCCCAAACATCTTACCATATTGGATGAATTTATGTATGAGACATATATTGAAAACATTTTATTCTAATCTTATATCATGATTTACTAAAAAATGTTTCAAGGTCAATAATAACTCTTTGAAAGATAAAAAAAATAAACACAAATATAGTAATTTTATTACAATGGAATCATTTCTCATCATTGGTACGACGTAGAGAGAAATAATAAGTGTTATAAATGGTAAGAAATATAAAACAAATAAATATGTGTTACTTGTGAATTAATATAGTTTATAAACATCAACAATTGAATTTAATTAATATGGAGAGAAATAACAAAGAGAGAAGGTTGTAGGGGAATAAAATTATATTACAAATTAAATATTTTGTTGGTTTGGACGAAAACATCCTTTGTAGTGGAATTCTTGAAGTTGGCGCCACCGTAGCTATTGCTAAGTGCTAACCTAACTAACACATCCACTTTCTTTCTTTCTTTCTTTCTTTCTTTCAATCACATTCTTTCAGATTTCAACCCCTATTCTACCGGATCTGACCCGAACCCGATAATGGTATCCGCTTCCGATTTCGATGCCCTCCAACTCCCAGATCGGTGCTCCCCGACTTCGCGGACTCCGAGGCTCGGTCCCAGCCGCCTCTCCACTTCCCGCAGATCCCAATCCCACTCTTCTTCGTGGTTCCGAAGGAAACGATCCAAAATGCTTCTGGCGCTTATTGCGTTGCTCGCTTCCTTTTTCTTCTTCAATTGGTTCATGCTTCTCCGCTTACAATATCAACACCATGCACCCCATCCTATTCCCAAGCCTACACTCCGTTCATCATCGGCTTCACTTTCCCTTCAGGTATGTGCCGTGCTTTATTACTATACACAATAATTAAAGGGCTTTTATTTCTCTGCCTCTCAACTAGTTTGTTCCGATATTTTCAGGGGAAAGTGAACAACAAGACCGGAAATAAGAAAAAATCACAGAAGGGGAATTATGTACGGTTGTTGGCATTGGCTGCACATGCTTTGGCTGAGGTATACGAATGGATATCTATATGGCTATTTATAGAAGTAGTGGTAGATGATATATGAGTGATTATTAACGTAAAAACCATAAACCATGTGTGTAAATATGGTTAACTTTGTCGCACATGTAGGTCAGAATATATGAATTTGGTTGTGTATAATTATTATTTTGTCCTTTTGACATTTATGGATAGTTAAGAACTTGGCCAACAAATGGATTTTTGGAGGAGGAAGCATAATTCTTCTTCCTGCTGGAAAATCAGTTATTTTTTTAAGGTTTAAAGCTTCAAACGAGAACTACTGCTACCTTCGATATTTTGTCTCATTGACTTGTAATATGCAGACCATGGTAACAAACGCAATCCGTTGAGCTGAAATTTTCTCTTTCGGTTATGACCTTTAGGTTTTGGACATAATTCTTCACAGGTATGAAGGGGAGAAAAGATGAAAATGTGAGCATATCTCTGCTGGGTGCAGAGCTTTTCTCTCTCACCAAATAGTTTTAAAACTTTCCCTGTGTAATGCTATGCATCACTTGGTAATCAGTCGTATTCATAACAAACTTCTCTGTCTTTGTTCTCCAACTTCTTGCCCGCTATTTTTGGTATTTGGTACCAAAACAAACAATATATCGATGCACTACTGACTTCAAATCTTTATCACATAATGCCTCTTTGATATTTGTTTCTCCTTTTTTTTCTCTTCTCTACTGCAGCTGCTAAATTTCTACAAACTGTATCCATCATCTCTTTTTTGCCACCATTCTTTCTCCCCTAATTATTTCTAGCCGTTGAATTTTCAACTTCCTTGTTCACTCTCGTTAGAATCACCACCTGCATTATCTACAGAGGTGGCCTGCCTTCTCTTTAGATAGTTTCCAGATCTCTTCTTTGACACTTTTGGGAGTCTTGGTTCATGATACAGCATTGTCGTTCTTTGGCATTATATGTTCTTTGGCTCTAGCAATCCCCCGTTACATAATTTTCCCACAATAATTATAGACAGTAGCGTTAAAGTTTGATTCATTCAACGGAAGACAATGCTTCTAACTTGGTCATTCCTGTTGGACGTTCTTGATGATCAGATGACACTGGAAAATAGATATAGCCCATGCTTCATATTTATGTATTAGAGAATAGGTATTGAGTAAAAACGAAGAAAAATGAATCGAGAAGGGTGGGAAGCGCTGTTGTTGTGGAAACAAAGAGGAATCAGAAAAAAGAAAAAAATGAGGACAAATCATGCTTGTTATTGTTATTAATTAGTTGACTGCTTTTCATTATTTTTGCATTATAGTTGTATATCTGCATTTATATATTTATCTTTATGTTAGGAATTCAATGTGAGTTGGAAAGTCGCACATTGGTTAAAAATGAGTAAGATAAATATTATATAAGTAGAAGAACCCATAAACCTTTTACCTTAAGGTTTTGGGTGAATGTGTTGTTCTGGTCTCTTGTATGGATTCATTCACGACGGATTGGTGCAAAATCTCTCTGTTGTCTTCTCTTAAAAAACCTAACAGTGGTATCAAAGCCAAGTTCATCTTATTTGATCTCTTATGAAGCTGGTGCTTTATGGGTCGAAGCTGGTGTTTTGATCTCTTATTTGCTTTTGTTCATGACTTGTTAATGCTAAATCTTCTCTGTGTCTTCCCTTGAAAAACCACATTTTATTTATAAATTGTATATTTTTTGTCCACAAATGGATTTTAAACCTAATTCAAACCCATAAAACTCAATTTCACAACTCAATTTCACAAAATCATCTTGCAATGTGAGGTTTGCACCCACTTATATGTTGTAAACTCACTTTATCTCTAGTCGATGTGGGATCTCCAACAGTTTTCAATATATTTTTGTGTTGCCAATATTTTCTTTTGTCCAATATCGTGAACTCTGCAAGTTCTTAAAATGTCTAATGGTGGTTACATTTGCTTTACTCGTAATCAAGAGTTAGTGAATATGTATGCAATTATCAATCTCTACTTGTGGTACTGTTATTTAAATATGTTCAATAATGGTTAATAATAATGACACAGATTATAGAAATGTCTAATGGCGGTTAATTTTACCAATGTATATACGCATTAATCATTTGATAACTAATGGTTAAATATGCCTCACAAGTTATTGATAGTTTTTGAGGTTCTTGAAATATCTAATGGTAGTTATGGTTGATTGTGCGTTAAAAGTGGCTAACTTTCTTGATGGACACTGTGGTACAGTTCTGGACTATTATAATTCTTCTGGTTATATGCCATAAGGTTATAGAGTTATTTCAAATTATAATATAGCTGAGCAAGCTTTTGGTAACTCTGACTTATTGTGCTCAATGTGACAGAATAAACGTGAACCAAAAGATTTGTGGCAGGAACCCTTCGTTCCAGCTTCTTCTTGGAGACCTTGTGCTGATCAGCGGAATTGGGAACCTAATGGTATGTGTGGTTGAATTTAGCAATTGTTTATAGAAATTAATTAGAATGCAATAATAATGTATATTTGCACAGTAAATTTATTGACTTCCATAATAATTACTTTAGCAGTCATATTTGGTACAATTTCTAATCTGTTGACACATGAATATCAAACCCATTGTTTATACTATGTAAGTGTTAGTGTACTACAAAAGGAACCTAATGGGGTGGTTGAAATTTAGCAATTGTTTATAGAAATTAATTAGAATGCAATAATAATGTATATTTGCACAGTAAGTTTATTGACTTTCATAATAATTACTTTAGCAGTCATATTTGGTACAATTTCTAATCTGTTGACACATGAATATCAAACCCATTGTTTATACTATGTAAGCGTTAGTGTACTACAAAAGGAAAAAAAAATGTTGAATGTGTTATTCACGGCTCTCTTCTTCTGTACTCCAATAGAGGGAAAGAATGGATACATTCTGGTTACTGCAAATGGTGGGATCAATCAGCAACGAGTGGGTGTAAGTATTCTGAACTGATTGGATTTTCAATTTTCATTGATTTTAATGTAAGAAAGCTTAAGTTTTATTTTAAATGCTTTGCATGTCATTTTTGTTGGTTTTGATCTGCAACAGGTTTGTAATGCAGTTGTTGTGGCACGGTTGCTCAATTCAACTTTGGTTATTCCCAAATTTATGTACAGTAGTGTATGGAGAGACGTGAGGTAATGCTGTCTTGTCTGTCGTTCTTCTCCTTCCACCTTGGCCTCCCACTCACATGTTCTTTCTCTGTCATATTTTGTTAATGTCCCATCTATTTGATATTATGAGTGATTTTGAGCAACAGGTTAAATACGTTTTTTGATGGTTTGCAGTCTTGAATGTTATTTTACATATCTCATGTACTTCTGGAGGGAAAATAGCATAAATTATTAGGATTTATTGGTTTATCTTTTGTCTTGGATCATTTTAATGCGACTTTTGCTGTCCACGGGCCTTCTTTCTTGATGTTGATAACCTGTTAACATAACTTATAATTGCTTATTGTATAATTTCATAGTCAATTCAGCGATATCTATCAGGAGGAGCATTTTATTAACTACTTGACTCCTGATATTCGGATAGTGAGGGAACTTCCTAAGGAGCTACAATCTTTGGACCTGGAGGCAATCGGTAGTGTTGTAAGTTACACCCTAGCCCCCCCTAATAGCAGCCCTTCATGTAAACTGATTAAACTCGACTATTTTTGTCGTGTATTATTTTAATTGTTGGAATGCTCTTCCAGGTAACAGATGTTGACATGGAGAAGGAGGCTAAGCCAAGTTTTTACCTGAAACGCATCTTACCTATTATACGTAAAAATCAAGTTGTTCACTTTGTGGGATTTGGGAATCGCTTGGCATTTGATCCAATCGCATTTGAGCTGCAGGTGAATGATCTTAGAAGCATAAAATATTCACTATAATTTTCATGAACTCAAGCTCTTCAATGCTCTGTTTTTCTCTCTGTTTTATATCTGAAGCTCTCTTCCTAATTGGGGAACTTCATATAGAGACTTCGATGCAGATGTAACTTTCATGCCCTGCAATTTGTTCCCAGAATACAAGAAACTGGTGCTTTGCTTCTTAAAAGATTGCGTGAACATTCAGGTCTCGCTGGACCATTGGACCATCATCTTGTTGGTCCATTTGCAGAATCAATTAAGGAGAAAGGTGAAAATGATGCCAAGAAAGCATCCAAATACTTAGCTTTGCACCTCAGATTTGAAATTGACATGGTAGCTCATTCTTTATGCGAATTTGGGGGAGGTGAAGAAGAGAGGAAAGAATTGGAAGCATATCGTGAAATCCATTTTCCTGCATTGTCACTGCTGAAGAGGACTACAAGGTATGCATCATAATCGTTCCATCTGAAACTTTTCCCTCCTTATGCTACGGTTGGAAAAACTTGGTCTATATATTTATCTTTTAGACACGTCAATTTTAATTTATGAAGAAAAGAGCCTTATTCACTAAATAATTGAAATCTTCTATGCAGATTACCTTCTCCTTCTGAGCTCAGGTCTGAAGGCCTATGTCCTCTGACACCTGAAGAATCTATCCTTATGCTTGCTGCTCTTGGTTTCAATCGAAAAACACACTTATTTGTAGCTGGTTCTAATTTGTATGGAGGTCGCTCACGATTGGTTGCTTTGACCAGCCTGTACCCTAAATTAGTTACCAAAGAGAACTTGCTTTCTTCGACAGAACTTGAACCGTTTGCTAATTATTCCTCTCAGGTTTGTTACTAACATGTTACTGTTATTCTTGTTTAGCTCACATCAATGATGTCACAAATATAATTTAGTTCCTTGCAAGATATTTTTTTTGCTCTTTACGTTACATTGCTCTTCATAATTTTTCTTGTCCAATTTTTGGCATTATTTAACGTTGAAACCTGAAATGTCTTCTCCCGATCTCTCTATGTTCTGTACATTGCACCTCGTACTTATTATTCAAATCTTGGCATTATCTGAGCGTGGATACTTGCTATATCTCTCTCAATAGTATGCTTCATACTGTACATTGCACCTCCGTCTCTCATTTTGAGAACATAATTACTGAAAAGAACACTGCCTTTTGTTTTGGTTCTACTGGTTATTCTCTTGATGATTGACAATAAGCTGTCTCTGTTGTAGTTAGCAGCACTAGACTTTATAGGCTGCACTGCTTCGGATGCATTTGCCATGACTGATTCTGGAAGTCAGCTGTCATCTTTGGTCTCTGGGTTTCGAATATATTATGGTGGTGGAAGAATGCCAACAATACGTCCAAACAAACGGAGGCTAGCGAGTATATTTATGAAGAACTCCACTATAGAGTGGCGTGTTTTTGAACAGAGAATGAGGAAAGCAGTTAGGCAAACTAAACATGTACAGACAAGGCCAAAGGCAAGAAGTGTTTACAGGTATCCTAGGTGTAAAGATTGTATGTGCAGGACAGACTGATTTTTTTTATTATTATCTTGACTGTAATTATCCATTCTCATTGTAATTTGTTACATTTTTTGTTCATTATTCCCATTCAATATAGATTTGTTCGTGCCCTTATAACTTTACTTTCCATGGGATTTGCTCAGACGACACAGTTTTATATCTTAAGCTGCCAGGACGCTGCTCTGGTTATACTGAATAAGATTCTGTTACAAAAGCCGAGAATGCACATATTTTTGCGATAAATGGACCGGTTTAATCTATAACAATACTTTGAATATGGTTGCATTATAAAGTTTGTTATCGGAATGCACAATTGTGTAATCTACAATCCAAAAAGAATAAAATCAAAAGCTTTTTTTATATGAAGATACAGGAAGAAACACATGGAGAGTCTTTTTGGACTTTCAGTACGAAGACAAAGGAAGAAACATATGGACCCGCAGAAAGAAACTGCCTACAAACTGATCGGTTGATAAAATTTGGGCTTTTCAGTCCAAACACAATGGGTGTTACTCCCTCCACCACCACATTTTCTCCCTCCACCTCCCCAATTCTATTACATATTTTTTTATTTTTAAATTTATTTTTTTTTATTTTTTTAATTATCTTTTTTATTTTTTAATCCTAATTATTTACTTTAACCCTAAAATCTATCTTTCTACCCCTTCTCACCCACCTTCCAACCCCTCAGATTCTCACTTAAACTCCATTAGATTTGTTTCTCATCTTCCATTTTTCCTCACAGTGTGGTGGTGCTTCAAGGTACTGGTTCAGAAGCGTAAAGGTGCGTAATAAAACCCTAAAATATAAATCGTATAATCTTTAAAAGGATGTGAGCATACGTCAACGGATGTCAACATCCGTTTAAGGGAAAACAGATGTCAACATCCGTTTAAGGGAAAACAGATGTCAACATCCGTCGACGGATATCAACATCCGTTTCAGATCCAAACGGATACCCGACATCCATTTTTGGCCTGGTTAACGCAGAGCACAGCACAACACAGAGATATATGCATTGCATTTAATAAAAAATTAAAAATATCATCACTAACCTTGTGAGGAAAAATGGAAGATGAGAAAAAAATCTGATGGAATTTAGATGAGAATCTGAGGGGTTGGGAGGTGGGTGAGAAGGGGTAGAAAGATAAATTTTAGGGTTAAAGTAAATAATTAGGATTAAAATATAAAAAGGTTATTTGTGTAATTATAAAAGGTTAGTTTTGTAATTTAAAAAATATGTAATAGAATTGGGGAGGTGGAGGGAGAAAATGTGGTGGTGGAGGGAGTAACACCCAAACACAATTGATGACTACAACAAAAAAAGATGAGTGTTTCATCCTACACCACCAATATTTCATTTTGTACCTCCAAAATTTTCATTTTTAACCTTTTAACATCTCAACCTACACATGCAACTTTTTCAAAAATTTTAACTTTTAATAAATATATTATTCAAAATTTTAACTTTTAATAAATATATTTTTATTTACTTCTCTTTCTTATTAAAGTACTTTAATAAATATTATTTTATTTTTTTTCTCTGTTTTATTAAAGACACTCTAATTTAATTACATATTTTAATAATTATTAAAATATGATATATATTATAATAATAGTTATATTAAAGAAATAAAAATAAAATAATTTAAATAAAAAAAAAAAAATGAAATCATAATAATAATATTATAAAATTTGATTTGATATATTAAAATATTACAATAAATTAAACAATTATTAAATTTTAAATAAATACAAAAAATTTTAAATATGCTAACAGTTTTGTTTTTCATTTAAAATTTAATAAACATTTCATTTAATTGAAAATTATAATATTATTTATTATATTTTATATTTTAAAAAATATTAAAATATTATTTATATTTTTATAATTGTTTTATAAAAAAATAAAAATAATAATAACTAAAATAAGAGTTATAATAATGAAAATAAAAATAATAATAACTAAAATAAGAGTTATAATAATGAAAATAAAAATAATATTTAAAATTACATTTAATATATTTGAATATATTAAATTAAATAAAATAATTATTAAAATTAAATGAAAACAAAAGTTTGGAAAAGTTTATTAATCGGATATCTATATCCGTATCATATATTATCGGACCTCTATATCCGATTAACTAATTTTTTTTATTTAAATTTTAATAATTATTTAATTTAATTGAATATTTTAATATAATGTAATATATTTAAATATATTAAATGTGATTTTAAACACTATTTTTCTTTTCATTATTATTAATTTTATTTTAGTAATTGTTAATTTTACATTTTTAATAAAACTATTATAAAAATATAAATCATATTTTAATAATTATTAAATTATAAAAATATAATAAATAATATTATAATTTTTTATTAAATTAAATATTTATTAAATTTTAAATAAAAAATCATGATACTTAGAATAAAGAATAATGATACTTAGAATAAGAATAATGATACTTAGAATAAAGATATTTTAACACACAATTTTTACATTCATTTTGATATTATTTTTTATTTTTATTTTCTTAAAACAATACAAAAAGTTTACCTTTTTATAATTATTTTACTCTTATATTATATATCAAATTAACGTAAAAGTGTATCATTTTAGTATTGTACTTGAGTATTAACTTGAACTCATTTACTGATCATACTTCATATTAATAGGTTTCTAGTACTGTTGCATAAATACTTTCTATTAAATAAAAATATTAATTTTATTTTGATGCATTAAAAGAACTTACACTTATTTTGTGAATAAGTTTTAAATTTATATTTTAAAAAATATAAACATAATCTATAATAAAATATTGTGACCAACTTTTTCATTAGAAAGGTGTGGTTGTTGTATAAATTTGTTTAAAAGGTAAGTTCCAAATTAAACTCAATAATCTCAACAAGTTGAGAATAGCGTTTTGTAAAAAAACCGAACTTAATATCCTTAAACCTGAAATGGAAGTGATCTTCATTACACTGAAATCGCGAACACTGACAATGTTATTCGTACAATGTGGTTTAAATTTCCTGTGAGAACAATTTCACCAAAGGTAAAATTCTGCATTGGTTGGACGACACTGATATGTATATCCAAATCTTGCGTTCCTTGCGGAGTTAAGGTAAACCAAGTTGGATACAGGCAGATGTCAGTTCCATTTGGGGGACCAACAGTGGCCAAGTACGTCTCTGTGGTGTTCCCCACGTTCGTGAAAGTTCTTCGGACAGAAACTGATCCTCTCAGCGCAGATACTGTAACCGAAGGAAGGTTTAGACTGAAAGGATAGGCAAATGGGTGATTGCATTGCTCTCCAGTAGCTGCAACGACTGCATCCGTGTCTATGTCCGGCAAAGAGCACAGGAAGCTGATGAAGTCTGCATAATCTGTTTCAGAACCAATGAATGATTCAGGTTGCTTCCAGTAAAAGAAGTATGCTGATAAACAAGTGATTATTACGTACCTGATGAAAGTACCAAACCAGGATCAACGGCACGACTGGGGTTGACAAAGCCTGAGCCGTAATCAAAAGGAGTGGCGGGTAGCAAGGTGTTGACCTCATAGCCTTCTGCCATTATAGGCTGTCCAAGATGGTCATACTTTGAGCTTGTTGTAGAGATCGCAGAAGCTATCATGGATGGAGTCCATGATGGATTGTGTTGCTTCATCAGTGCTGCTATTCCAGCCACATGAGGTGTGGACATGCTGGTACCAGATAACAATGCAAAACTGTTCCCTGTATTACCAAAAGAGTGTTCGATGATGTTTCGGTGTTGTCAACTATTTCTCTTTCATGAAAGATGGTAGTAATGGTACATTGACATTTTAGATAGAATTTGGAAAAAAAGAAGAGAAAAGCACCTCTGAGGAAAGGTTCTGAGGCACTCATGGGGGCCCAGGCCGCCCAGATTTGGTGTCCTGGAGCAAGAATATCAGGTTTAAGAACATCTGCAACATTTTTTTTATTGTCAATGATATCTGGACCCCTTGAAGAAAATCTACTGACTATCGGTGATCTTCCTGTGAAAGAGGCAAGTCTTCCTTCTCCCACAGCTGCCAAAGCACCAAACTCTCTGCCATTTCCTTTCTTGTTCCTCTTTGTTTTTTCTTCATAGTACTTTAATATAGCCTACAATTTCAAGCAGTATGTCAGTTATCTCTTTACAAAGATACAGTTACATAAAAGATATATATTTATAATAATAATAATAATAGCAAGTCCTCCCTTTTGTACCTTGGCATCCTCCACACGAGGGATCAAAATACCAGAAAAGGCAAAAGGCATTGGCTCTGCAATATAATCACCATAGCTTGGGTTCGCAACTAAAACAAAGCCCTCCATTCCCAGAGCCTTCACGGTGCCAATAATACCAGCAAGAGTTGAGGTGCCATTATAGAACCCACCTGAGAATGTGCAGATAATGATACTTCCCAACACTATATGAGGGTCCAAAACATCTGGATGTTGGCACTCCTCAATGTACTCAGTCTTTGGTCTTGTTCCACTCATTTTGACCGCATCCTTAGCTAAAACAAGCTTATGCCAAACTGATCCATTTCCAAAACTTGGTCCTGTTCATACATTAAGATCACTTGGAGCACTAGATATGGACAAAATATAGGTTGATATATATATATATATATATAAGAGTGTATTGAGAGACAGAAGTACCTGATAGTCCCACGCCATTAAGTACTGCGCCATTTCCAAGTACAAGTGAAGAAGGGTACCTTCTGTTTGTGGTGCTAGCGGCGACAGTTACACTCCAAGGACTGAATGACACTACACTTGAAGATGCGGGACCGTTGTTCCCTGCAGCTTGCACCACGAGAACTCCTGCTTTTCGTGCAAACAACAAAGAAATGTCAAACATGTTTAAGAATGTTAACGTGTGTTCTGGTGGTCCGTTTGGTCCTACAGATAGCGATAAGATATCCACTCCATCCAGAACAGCCTGCGCAAATCATGCAAACTATTTCAGTTGTTATGGCCACTCACACTAAGAGACCAACACTAATATGATCTAATCAATGTATGTTAGGAAAGTTTTCTCTAAATAACTTCTCCCGTTTCACTGTATCTTCCTTCTTGATTAAT